TTGCTGCAACCTGTTACATCCAGATTACAAACAATAATTAGATTAGAATAATAGTACTTCTAATAATGACAGATCACCAAAAATAAATAATCTATTGTTTTATTTGTTGAACATTCAGACAGTTAAAAAGTAATTAAATGATTCAACTTTGCAAAGGTATGAGACATTTAAAACAGGCAACAGATGAAATATGTAGTTGCACAATGAGTGGAGCAATAGTTATCAGGCAGTTGCTGAAGTAACCAACAGTCAACCATAAAGAATGAATAAAGGCTACCAAATGCAGAGAAGACATTGTAAATGTATTAAACAGCATTACCTGAGTTTGAAATAGATTGAATAAGCTTGCCAACTTGTCACTTCCAAAATACGGGAGAACTCCACTGAGGGGAGGGGTCTTAATGATGTAATGTGTCAACTGTGACATCGCCACAAAATATGTATTCAACTTTTTAGCTGCACTTACATAAACAAGATTTATTCTTGTTTCCATATTTTTTTTCATGTAACATGATGGATTAAAAATGATTTAATCAATTGTATATTGATTGATCTATGTTCATAAAACAAATTGTTCTAGTTAGATGCGACTTCTGACTGGAATAATGTTCCGTCCGGGACACTTTAATTTGTCTAAAAATATGAGCCATATTGGCTAATATGGAACTGTTGGCAACCCTAATTTTGAATGACAACTATTGTATAATGTTCAACAACCAGTCTATGTGATATTTTACAATGGATAACCATTGTGTTTGAGCACAGTGAGGTGAGAGTAGTTGAAGGATTCTCCTAATACTGAGGATAAAGACACCAGGGTAAAACTTCAAATATGGCATTCATTAGAAATACTTGTGAGTCTGTGGATGTCTCTGTCATGCTGATGTGTCTCAATTCAGGGGCTGCACCCCATGTAGGGTGCATTAGCCCAGTTCGTAGGCGCCTACTCAGCTGGCAGACAAAATCATAAAAAAACGTAGGCCGCACTTGAGTATCCTACACGGCTGATGATATCGCAGAAATCATTGCACCGTCAGCAAATTAATCAAAAGACGAAGACAGCAGAGTTGTTTATTTATTCATTTGTTTTATGGCAGAGTTTGGAAATTTATCACGGACCGAATCATTTGTTTTTAATTTTGTTTAGAAACTTAGGTGATGAATTTTTTGTTGCAATAAGATGTGAAATAAAATACAATCGTGGGTGTTGATACTGGAGTTAAACCCAAAGTATTTTATTTTTGATTTTATTTTTATAAACAAAATGTATTTTCTTTCATGTGATATAAAAATGCAACATCATGGTAACAGGCAATGCATGTTCATCCGAATACTAGACAGTTTAATTTCACAGCGGACTAAGTAAGGTGTGGTCTACGTGGGCTGCAGTCTGCTGCAACCCCTGTATTACCCTATCCTGTGAACAGCCAGGTCTCCAAATCTTTCCTCAATCAGACATTGACTCCAATCCATTACTGATCTGATGGTCATCTGGGGCCACAACAGTTGTGTCATTCCACACTGAACAGCTGGTTCGGATGTTATCAGTCCATTAAATGGATATTATTAGCTGTTATCAGTCCCATAGAATGGCTTCAGACTGTCCCAACTATGCCCCCTAGCAGGTTATCAGTCCCATAGAATGGCTTCAGACTGTCCCGACAGAGCCCCCTAGTGAGTTACCAGTGCTATATATGTTGGAATGCAACAATCTGATACCACCGGAATCCGGTCTACTTTATCACAGCCCATGCCATTTTCTCTAAAATTAACCTTTGTGGCTTTATGCCTCATGTTAACCAGATTGCATAAAAAAACCTTAGTGGCTTTATGCTTCATACTAACCAGCTTAGAGTTTGAAGCCATTCTGTGGGATTGAGAACCCACTCGGCGGCACAGTCGGGACAGTCTGAAGCCCGTCTGAAGCCATTCTATGGGACTGATAATGGATAATAAGGTCCATTCAATGGATGATGACATCCAAAGCGGGTGCACTGAATCACTGTCTGTATCAAGGCCTGAGGTGGTGCCACACCCTCTTGACATGTGACTAGCGTGCCAACAGTGCCAACTCCATTTTTTATTGCAAAACCATTGGATGACTTTTTAACATTTATTTATTTATTTATTTATTTATTTATTTATTTATTTATTTATTTATTTATTTATTTGTCAGAGAGTGAATTTTAGAAACTTAGTACTTCATGGTCACATTTTTGATCTGTGTGCAGCTGACTGTTTTATGACCTTAAAATAACAATGACCTTGCATAATAATATTATCATACCCATAAATATTCAACACTGTATATTTAGTTCTGTATCCTCTTTTATATTAAAATACTGCAACATATGACTAAAAACTGTTAAGCTTTTTTTGTCAGAACTGTCCTTTGAAAACTTGCATATCGCTCTGAACACCTGTGACGCTGTTTGATCTGTACTTTCTTCTACTGGCATGTGGTACACAGTAAGTGTGCCATCAATAGCAACATCAGCCGTGGCACCAATCACTAAAATCCAATTTATCTCCCTCAATCTGCACTTTTTAAACCTACTGGTGGAAATATCAACCATGTGATTCATTTATGAGAAATTATCTCAGTCACATTGAGTCAGAACCCAAAAACAGGTTATTAAAACACCACTGAGGAGCAATTAGTGCACTAAATATTGCTGTAGAACAAGACAGAGCTGTTTTATGTCTACATAAAAATGTCTATCATAGCACATGGTGTAAAGCAAAGTGCATAGTGTTGTGTTCGTGGCGCACAGTGTTCATCACATATTTATATCTGAGAGGTTTTAGCCCTAGATGCATTTGGTACGGTGACTCATGCTTTGAAAGTACACATTAGACAGAGAGAGATTCAGGGCTAGGATTCAGCTCTATTTCAGTCCAGAAATGCAATGCATTGCCGACAGCACTTGTCTTCTCCAATGTATTTTTTTCTTTCCTTTTTCTTTTATTTTTTTTTGGGGGGCTGACATTTTAAACTCAGGGATCAAAAGTTCTCAACTCATCAGTCTGTCATGTACACTTGAATGTGTATGGTTGCATGTGGATGTGATAGCGAGAGAAAAGGAAAACGCTCAGAAGTCAGGCACTTTAAAGCTCCAAGCTTGAGGGCTAACTTAGCGAAAATGTTTGTAGAATGATGTAGTGTGACCTGTTAGACTTGGAGTCTGCTTGATCTGAGAGTAGAGGAATCTTTATTTTTTAAGAAAGCATTTCAGATAAACTCACCAATACGATGACAGCAGCAGGACCAACAAAGGCATAAAGCAGGCCTCCCTCTAAAGACAACCAGCAGCTAAAGGAAAACAAGAACAGAAGCTCAGACTGGAAACAGGTTTTACATTTATTTCAAGTCTAATTTACTTTTATTGCTGTGTATCTCTTTCCGGAGTACCTGCAATGTATTAGGTGCTTGATACGTGTTATTCTAGAAAACATCTTTCAAGATAAAAATCTTTAAATCCACATGCCCATTTATTTTCTTCTGCTCATTTATGGTCCAGTCCAGGAGGGAAACCCAAACATCCTCGACCCCAGTGACACTCTCCAGCCCATCCTTTGGGAATCCAAAGCATTTCCAGGCCAGAGAGGACATAATCTCTCTGGTGATTTTTGGCTCTGGTTATTGGAAACCAGTGGAAGGATTGAATGTCCTCTCTGGCCTGGAAATGATTACATTGTAATTAGATGCCTAAACCACCTCAGCTGATTCTTTTCAAATAGTAGGAGCAGCGGCTCTATTCTAATCCTCCCCCTTGATGACGGAGCTTTTCATCTGATCTCCAAGGCAGGCCCCAACCACCTTACAAAGGAAACCCATTTCAGCTGCTTGTATCCAGGATCTCACCATTTCAGTCATGATCAAAATCTCATGACCTTTGATGGGGGTTGAAACATAGATAATTTGAGCACTTTGTCTTTTGGCTCTGGTTCTTCTTAACAGAAGACAGATTGGAGCAACGCCCTCTGTGCTGTAAATGAGGCATCAATCTGTTGATCTTTGATTCTGCCATCAACGATGAAAACAATCCACAGACATTTTTTCTTTCTTCATTTAAAGCAAACACTCAAACCTGATCCAGTGGTGGAATGTTTATTGACATTTTAAGTAAAATAAAATTATAATCAATAAGCACCACATGATTTTTATTTTATTTTATTTTATTTTTTTGCTTCTTCTTCTTGCTGGGAGTAATAACATGGCGTTAAACAGAAACCTACGTTTTCACTCCATTTCAGAAAATGGGGGCACAGCTGCTCCATCTGCTACCTTGATTATATTGCTATGCATACATCCACTCTTAAGGACAATTCAAATTTTATTTTGAACACTTAAAATAATTCAGAGTACCTGGGAAAAATCTACACTTACCAGGCATAGCCAATAGAAAAAAAAAAAAAGGTTTTGCCCCGCAAAGTTGTTCCACCAGATAAAACAATGTATTTCTGTTTGTCAACTATTTCAACAGTTAAATTAAATTTAAAATGGGTTTCAGTTAATATTTATCAGTTATTTTGAGGTTGTTTTTTTTTACTTATTTAGGGTGATACAGTGTGAAGCCCAGTGTTTGTCAGTGGATTTATTATATTAATATGTACTCCCCCTGTCAGTTCCTCCAAATAGAGTCACATCGAGTTGTTGGAAATTACACCCTATAGACACTTTTTGATGGTTTTAGCGCATTGAACAGCAGACCAAAGTAAAATGAGCTCACTAAATGCAGGAATGGCATATAACAAAACATTTTTCCAAAAGATGGGATATTTTGTTTAAAATGGATTTGGAGCAGACAGAGCAGACATAAACAAAACACAAAAAGGAAAAAAAAAATAATAAACCAAGATGGTAGGGCTGTTTTTATCTCATCTGCGGCAACTGTGTAGTGCTAAGTCTGTACTAGAATAGAGCTGTGGTCATGAAATCATCTAAGTTTCAGCCTTATGACTACTTAAGTCTTTGGATGTTTTGTTTTACTTTTATATTTAGAATTTAGAATAACTTCCCAGGACATCTTCTCCCCTATACAACCTCATTAATCTGGATTATTACATATTATATGAATAATTTACTTGCAAAAAAAAAAAAAAAACTCTTTGAAGTAGGTACATGAGGTGTTTATCTGATTTAGCATTAGACCAGAGTGGTTTTTAAGAGACTCAACATGTGGGGAGGGAGAAAAAAGACAATCTTGTGCACAAGTAAGTGATTAAATAGATTATTTTTTTCACAGAAAATGTGCCACAAATTAAAACATTTCAGGACATGAATATCTCCCATGCTTATATTTATGCTCAGGAGCTGGTACTGATACTTATATGAGGAAAACATGAAAACAACATAGAAATGGCAAAGCAGAGGTTTGAACCTGCGGCACTCATTTTTATGAGGCAATAGTGCAAAACCATGTAGCCCTTTGCAAGAATCACTGAATAAAATGAGTTATCAGTGGCTTGATCAATGTCCAGATAAAGGATATGGCATTTTTTTAAAGTTGCACTTTAATAAGATTCTGCTTGTTTTGTTTTAAAACATGTTCATTTAGTTCTAAATACTTAAATTCACAGAGATATGCTTCGCACTGCAATCTAATTTGCAGGAGCTTTATGTCTCTCATGTTGAGTGTTGATGTTGCATCTTGTAAATTGCACTGGCAATACTATATTCTGCTCATAAAATAAAAGGAGTGAACCATGTTTTAAACATTTCCAGGCCTTACACATTCAAAGGTGTATGGGAAGAAAACGATCTATAAGTGGAGATAAAAGAACAGTTGAAAATGTGTGTTTTTGTTTGATGCAAATCAATGTGAGAAAGATTAAATAGACACAGATACAGTATATTTTGTTTTTAGCTGTTTAAAGCTTGACTTAAATAAATAATAAACACCACTACAAGGACAGACATTATTTTTTTTCAAACAGATGTTTGCATAAAAGCATCATGGAAACAAACGAACCCTGCATCCTTGCATAGTGATTGATCTGCTGCCTGCGGTCGTTCCAAAAAAAAAAAAAAAAAAAAAAGGTAGGAAGAAGCTGATATTAAGTGACAAAATCTAGATTGAGTGGTAATTAGAGTGAGACGCCAGGCAGGACAGTTTAGAAGGAATACTCACTAGCTGGCAGTGCCATAACCTCTTGCTCTGGTGAAACCCACCGACACGGCAACGACGAGGGCTGGGAGACCTGCAGACGCACAAACACACAGAAAAATGGTAAAAGGAAGCTTATATAGGAATGATGAAGCAATTCAGCTAAATGATATAGAGTATGAAAAACAGATGACTCTTCTTCCCAAGCAGCCTTGCTGCAAGGTATAACATAAGTGAAACTTACTGAGTGCTCTGTAGGTGGACCTAAGTGATACCTGAAAATAACTAACTGTTTCAAGCAAGTTTCTATATAAGTATGTGCAGTGGTGGGCAGTGCTAATCCAAAAAAATAGAGGTGTCAGGTAACTAAGTACAAATACGTTGTTACTTTACTTAAGTAGTAATTTTGGTTATTTATACTTTAGTGGAGTAATTTTTTCAGCCTACTTTTTACTTCTACTTCTTACATTTCAATTTAATCATGTGCACTTTCTACTCCTTACTTTTTAAAAATGCAAAAGGTATTTCATTTCTATTTCACTTTGACTTGTTTTTATTCCATCTTTTCATTGTTCAGAAATAAATAAATAGAAATCTATCCAGGTACAAGGAGCCCATGGATAGAATGAATCTGATTGTGGTTGGATGACAAATGTCAATAAATACTATTCTGACATCCCATTGGCTTGAACTCACTGCATCACACCTGTACGACACAAATCTCATCACATTCCAGCAGGACATACTGTAGTAGATGGAGCCTATAATGAAGATGACCCTGGCTAAAGTTGTGTTTTCTGAAATTTTCAGCAACAAACTGATTTAATTTAAGGATAAATAAAGTATATTTGAGATCAGTCCAACATGTTTTTTCTTCAAAAGATCTATAATAAAACAATATTTATTTGTTTATTTATTTTTTAGATTTTTTTCTATTTCGTATAATGTGAGGGTTTTATACATTAAATAATTAAAATGTGTTGTTATTCATTAATTAGTTCAAATGATTTAAGTATTTTAAAAATCGAATGTCTTCAGATTGGCTGCTAAATATAAAAATATATATTTTCACATAAAAAAAGCTTTTATCCTGAATTTAAAGTGTTCATTACTTTCACTTTTATACTTTAAGTAGTTTCAAAACCAGCACTTTTATACTTTTACTTGAGGAAAAAGCTTGACTTGATACTTCTACTTCCAAAAAAGTATTTTCAAACCCTAATATCTATATTTCTACTTAAGTGATGAATGTAAAAAAAAAAATTGACACCTCTGAAAATTAGCTCTGCAATTTCTAAAGCGCTTATCAAAATATTTAGGTCCACAACTTCAAAAATTCTTATTCCATAGAAAATTAGCAGAAGCTAATTCTAAAACACAAGTTCAATTTGACACTTACTAGATGGCAACAACTGTACAATATGTGTACAACACTGCCAACTAGCAGTGTATGAACCCTTGTGCAGCTTAATCCTGCAAGCATCGATTGCTGGGGATGTGATTTCCTGAAACAGAGCTTAAGCTCCTGGTGTAAAATATAAAACATTGTTGAGGATTGCTAGTTCGACTGCTTCTTTGTCTTTTCCTTTTGTTTGTTGTAGATTTTTCATTATAGAAGCATCAATAACAATTTTAAAACTGTTTATTGGAAAACTGAAGCGATGCATTCTGGGTACATGATGGATTTGATTTGTGGCGGGAAATGAAAGTTTTCCATGTAGTTGCTCCAGTTGACCACTAGATGTCAGTCTTCATCAGCATAACATCTTTAAATCATTTCTGAGTCTGTAACCCCGTTGCTTCAACCAATTACGTCAAGTATTGAGATCCAGCGTGTGAACATTTTTTTAAAAGGAGCTCTGATTGTAAAGTAAAATAAATCTATACATGCAAAATTTTAGTATGGTTTACAAATGTTTACTGTTTTTGCCGGGAAAGAGTACTAAACATTGCCTTCCTGCTATGTAAGCAGACACAAAGCAGTGTGGGATATGAGAACCGTGGCCGAAAGCAACAGTCAGCAAGGATGTATACCAGGGGTGCCCAACCAGTCGCTCGCAGCCGATTCCCAGGTGCCTGCGCAGCGCAACCTTGCTGCGGAGCCTCTAGCGCTGGCTTTGAGCGTTGCATCACGGAATGGCTGGTCTTGTTTGAAAGCTCTGTTTCTGCTCTACAAGGTGAAAGTTGAATGAAGTCCCTGCCATGTTCCCCCGCGGAGCAATAAGCAAAAAAAAAAAAAAAAAATATGCACAGTCGGACCTACCACCGGGGTGGTTTTAGCTCCCCCTCCCGGGCTAGGAGCATAGGAACCCGGCATGGATGGTCATTTTTAAAGCCCTGGCTCTTTCCTATAAGGGGAAAGTTAAGTGGAGTCCTTGCGGTGTTCCCCCGCGGAGATATAAATGAAAAACCTCCAAAATTACGCACCATCGGACCTCCGCCGGGGGTGGTTTTAGCCCCCCTCCCCAGGCTAGGAGCATCAGATCCCGGAGTGGCTAGTCGGATTTTAAAGCTCTGCTTCTGTCCTACAAGCTGATACTTGAATGGAGTCTCTGGACGTTGCCCCGCGGAGCTATAAGCAAATTACGCACGACTTAGTGCATTTTACGAGCATTTTTGGGAGGAAATTTCAACCTTCGTTTGATCTCCCGCAGGATCTAAGCATCGGATCCAAGAAAGTGAGATGACTTTGGAAAGCTGCAGTCCTCCTCTACAAACTGGAGGTGGTTGCAAGTTCCTGGGACGTCCCCCGTGGAGCTATTAACCAATGACCGGCCGAAAAAGGTGCTTTGGTGAGCAATATAGTACTCAATTTACTCCGGAGCCTCTAGCTCCGGCTCTGAGCGTCGGATCCGAGCGGGAGATGGCTCGTTTTAATGTTCTGGATCTCTGCTACAACCTGGAGGTGGTTAAAGTTCCTGGGACCTTCCCACGCAGAGATATAAGGAATCAAATGTCGTCGGGCGAGCTCAGGCTAGTGAAACGGCTGATTTCCAGCACGGGGCTGCTTGTGCTGATGCAGGGGAATAAAAGGAAGAGATCCAGTGAGGTGGAACCATGGTCCTACGTCCAGCACCCGCTCTCCCACCTGGATTCAGTCAGAAACCCCTTGCAGGCAATATTTCTGCAAAAATGCATAAAATTCAGAACCCCACCTGATGGATCACTTCCAGGCAATAAAAGGAACAGATCTGATCAGGTGAAACCGGTCCTGGAAGCTCAGCACCGGGTTTTATAGCCGCCTGCGAGGGAGTTTTATATAGTGTGCTATGACTTTGAAAAAAAGGGCGGTACTCTTGTAGTAGCCATGTTGACCCTGATAGATTTTGTTTTGTTTTCCTCCCCTGTATGGAGAGAAGAGAGGAGAGTTCTTTGAATAAATGGAGCCGAGTTCCCGTGCTCCGAAGTTATTTGACTCTGTGGTTCTCACGGGGCAGGTTTTCAGCCCTGGTAGCTCGCACGTTACAGGGAGTTTTAATTGAAGAAGGTAAAAAAATGATCCTTTTTGTTGGAGCATCAATTATATGTTTCTCTGTCAGGAGTTAAATAAGGATTTTATCTTTTCTTTTTTTGCAGGTAAATATATGGTTAAGTAGATAGTTTTGTTTGACAATACTTTGAATTAAATAAAACTAGATACACATTACGTTCTGTTTTATTTCCTTTAAAGAAGTGAGAAGTAGGGAGACAAAATTATGTTGTCTTTTTATATACTGAGACTGGATGAGTAGCTCTCGGCAAACTGCCGACTTCAAAAGTAGCTCTTGGTTCAAAAAAAGGTTGGGCACCCCTGATGTATACATTTCCAATAAGTGTGTTTATCTGGGAGGGGTGCTGTTAGACAGATCACGTGTGGTGTGATTCATTGACAACCTTACATTCTGCTGTTCAAGATAATGATGACAGGTAGATATTTAGTTATTAGCGGTGCTGCATTTTAATTTTAGAAAGTGCAAATCCGCTTATGAATTATAAAAAATTAGTAAGACCTCTAAAGCGCAAACAAAATATTTAGGCCGGCACTTAGCGGCTTTGTGCTTTAGCGGACTGGTGCCCACCACTGAGTATGTGTGTGTGTGTACATGTCTTGTATTGATTGTATTGTTTGTGTGGACATATGTTCACATTATACTATGGTTATGAGGACATTGTTTCGTGTGAACACTTGCCTGGTCCACACAACTGAAAAACACTGTTTTATGAGTCGGTGGTTAGGTGAAGGCTAAGGTATGAAATAAGTTTAGGTTAAGGTTAGGCATGCACCTGTGAGGTTAGATGAGGGTTAGCGTTGGGTAGGGTTAGGTAATACGACTGTAGAAATCAATGGAACGCAGTGCAAAGTCCATACAAGTAATGTAAGATGAGAATATGTGTGTGTTTATGTAATAAGAAGCCTGAAAGTGGAAGCCTGCATGACTGAAATAGAATGAATATTGTTGTGCCCTTAATGAGCTTGACTCTGAAATATTCTTGTAATTAACAAAGCTGTGATTATGGCTGCTAATGAAAAGCAATTAGGAAAAGCCACATTAACTTTAAAAGAAAGATGGTGGAGAGCTGACAAAATGAGACATTTCCATTTTATGTATAGACTTAACATTTATATATGATTTTTTTCATTATAAATCACAAACACACAGCCACACCTGTGTTTCATGCTTTTCCACACTCCACCATAAATCCAGTCACATCCCATATCTCCTGTTTCCTTGACAACTGATTTCAATCACATAATTTGGGGAGAAAATTGCAAAACGGACGTGAGGAGGATAAGATGGTTGATCCACTCGGCTCTGCCCGACTGTTTCACGCGCTTCCCGCGAGTCTGTAAGTGTGCCAGATAATTCTGCCGCAGCCACTGTACAGCCAACACACAGTCAGTATCTTGCCATCTGTGACTGTAGAGCAGTCTATACATTCTCTGCCTCTATCAGGTAAGGGCATCAGTGACTTGGCAGATTAGGCTGGTGGGATCAATACTGAGTGAAATGAGCAGATTGTGTGTGTGTGTGTGTGTGTGTGTGTGTGTGTGTGTGTGTGTGTGTGTGTGTGTGTGTGTGTGTG